GATCCATGGAGCAAGATGTGCTCATTTCCTCAATGTCCCCATTCCCCAACCTCCCTCTTGGGATCCCTCAGAGCCACAGAGAAATTTCTACAAGTTCATGAAAGCTATGGAAGTTCATGTTCTTCACATTTTAAAATATTGACAGGAATGGCAGAAGATAGGTCAACTGCTATTCCAAAGCTTCCAACAAATAAGCAGACAAAAAGACAACACCAAGAAGACCAAATGCAACCAGAGCTTAGCGCTCGGTCACTCCTCCACTTCCCAGAATTCAAAAGCTCTGGAGCCACTGGCCAACGGGCAGCCTTCGGAACATCGGTGGGCGCACCCTTGGCACACAAGTGAGGTCATTCTCCCAGAGGATACCATCACCACTGGCTGCGATGAGATTCCTCAGGGTGTTGTTTGGGGCACTGCATGTCCACTGAGAAATGAGGAGAAAAGGGATAGGGCACACACCAAATGATACCATGACCTGCCGTCGAAGTTGTGGAGTCACCTTTGAGAACTCCAATAAGCAGCTACTGAGTCATTTTCCAAAGCGGGCAAAAGCATGTAGTCAAGGTGGGAATGAGAACAGGGACTCGGAGTGCCTTCATTTGTATCCATACACTGGTGTGCCCGGGAAGCTCCGGGTAAGAGCGTGACCCATTGGGCAGAGGGAGAAGGGAACCAGTGGAAAAGTCTAAACTTATGAGGATGGTGGGATCACCGGATCTTGGAGAAAATAGATAAGTAAGTAGATAGGTGGATGAATGAATGGATTACTTAATACATGGATAGAGAGATGCATAACTAAATAAATCTCTCATTGCAGAGAGAGATGGCAGCGGACCTGCCACTATGGGCTGGTACAAGGGAGCAGAAACAAATCGGTGACTGCCAGGGCAGCAAGCAAACAGAGCACGATGCCCAGGAGGTGATGGGCTTGGAAGCGTTCCAAATCCCTGCTTAAACTCCGGGGAATTGTCCTTTCCCCACCCCCAATACCCGCCAGAGAAGTGCATCTGTAATCTTATAATTAAAGTCCAAAGGCAAAATAGATTTTGTTTTATAGCCAAATTACAAAAAGATATATTTTCTCTTAAGAGGTGGATATTTATAAAAGGAAGGAGTCCCTTTGCCTTGGAGGAATTCACCCTCCATCCACCCATTTAACAGGCAAAGACAGTGCTGGGCACTATTCTAAGGTGCTATGGTGGCACAGTGGGTTACAAATTGGGCGGCTAATCATAAAGTCAGCAGTTTGAACCTACCAGATGCTCCAAGGGAGAAAGACGAGGCTTTCTGTTCCTGTACAGAGTTACAGCCTCAGAAACCCACAGGGGCAGTTCTATTCTGTCCTATAGGTTTGCTATGAGTCAGAATCAACTCGGTGGCTGCCAGTTTGAGTTTTTTGGTATTGTTTAGCACTGTTCTAGGTGCTAAGGATGCTACAGCTAACAAAAATCTCTTCCTTTGTGGAATTTACATGCCAGCAAGGAGAGACAGACAATGGAGTGTTAGGGTTTGAACTGTGCGGACATCCTAACACCCAGAACCTTTGAATGCGACCTTATTTGGAAATAGGGTCTTTGAAGGTATAACCAGGATGAAAGTAGAACTGACTTAAGTACGGGCCCTGTGCCAACATAAAATTTCTTAATATGGTTCTTCTACCCATGTTCCTCTAACTAAATGATTGGGCGGGGCCAGTGCAAAGAGAGGGTATAAAGTACTCGCAGAGGGGCTGGCTCAGTTTGGGTGGCCAGTCTTTTGTGTGTAAGAAAGCCACTGCAGAAGTGATAGGGAGACAATTCCCAGGACCATCCAGGAAGACACGTCAGCAGAGCACGTTCCTTAGAGATGCCTGCCTGACGTGGCAAAGGCCATCCCACGCTGAGACCAGAGACCCCAGAACAGAGATCTTGAAACTGTGAGGCAGAACAGTGGGCTGGATTCCTGGCCCAGAGAACAAGGCAGAGGCCCAGGGACCATGTGGCTGAGAGGAGGAGGACCAGAAGGAGAGTTGGCTGCTGGCTGAGAAGAGGTGCTGCTGCGGACCAAAGACTGTGTCCTTCCTGTCTTGTGGTCCTGACTTGTGGTAACCTGTTACCTTCCCTAACAAACCCGCAGAACGGTGAGTCTTGCCTTTGACTCTGTGTTGCCATTGCAATAGATGGGTAAAACCCAACAGAAAACTAGAGCGACATGAGAGGAACAGTTAGTACCAGAAGAGGGAAAAGAAAGATGTCTGGCCTCTGCCTTGTGGCAAATGGTGTTGGGCTAGTGCCCAGATGGGTGCTCCTTCTCCCTTGTGTAGCCAGAGAAGATTGGATATGAGCTCCATTTGATTTCTGAGCCTCTAACCAGTGACTGGTATCCTTATCAGGAGAAGGAGGCTTAGAGACACAAAGATACATACAAAGAGAAGAGGAGCTTGTGACGACACACTCACTGCCACTGAGTCAATTCCAACTCATTAGGACCCTAAAGGACAAAGTAGAACTGTCCCTTGGGGTTCTGAAAGTCTTAAATCTGTATCAGGACAGACAGCCTCATCTTTCTCTCATGGAGCAGCTGGCGGGTTCAAACCACTGAACTCAATGTGTAGCCCATTATGTCCCCAAGGCTCCTTATGTGAAGACAGAGGCAGAAATCAGGGTGATGCAGCTGCAAGCAAAGGAATTCTGGTGACCATCAGAAGCTAGGAAGAGGCAAGGAAGAATTTTCTTCTAGAACCTCCTGAGAGAACATGGCTCTGCTCTGTTCTGGATTACCTTCCAGAACTGTGAGAACTGCTTTCATTAATTTTAAGCCACCAAGTCTGTAGTCATTTGTTGTGTCAGCCCTGAGAACCTAAGGCACAAAAGAAATGATGGGGACATATATTAGAAAGTGCCAAAGGTTTTAGAAAGAAATGAGGCGGGGAGAGGGTCGGTGAGGGTGACAATCCGGTAGGACTGAGAAGGTGACATCTGATCAAAGACTTAACGGAGCTGAAGGAGCAAATCATGTGGAAGAGAGTTCTAGGCAAACCCCTTGAGTACCCAAGAAACAGCAAGGTCCATGTGGATGGAGGGGGCTGAGCATGCGAGGATGAGATCGGAGAGGTGAGGATAAGCAGGGGCAATAAGAAGGGCCACAGAGGAGCTAAAGTTCCACTGGAAAGCACCTCAGAAGAAAGGCCTAGCAATGTACTTCTGAAAATGCAGTCACTGAAAACCCAATGGAGCAGTGCTAGTCTGTCATCCAAGGAGCCCTGGTAGCATAACAGGTTATGTGTTGGACTGTTAACTGCAAGATCAGCAATTTGAAACCACTCATTGATCTGGGGGAGAAAGATGAGGCTTTCCACTCCTTTAAAATTTACAGTTTCAGAAAACAGTAGGGGAAGTTCCAATATGTCCTATAGGGCACTATTGGTCTGAATAAACTCTGTGGTGATGAATTGTTGACTCTGTCTCCATGGGGTCCCCAGAGAGAGGGAATAAACTTGATAGCAAGAAGTTTAGAAGTCCTTGGGCAACACACACAGTGCATCACTCGACTACTCACCAGAAGCTTGGCAGTTCTAATCCATTTCAGAAGAGAGTCCTGAAAATGTGCTGTCTGGTGGGCACCACCTTGAATGCTCATCTACTGGGCAACCTTGCGCGTGCCGGCAGCTGGAGTCAACTTGATGGCCACTGGTTTGGTTTGGGTTGTGCAGGCATTGTGCCGATGACCTTACCTGGAACAACAGAGGGTACAAGGTGGGTTTAAGCAGAGAAGTGACAAGATCCCACTTGCTTTTAAAAAGCATCACTCTGGCCACAGCTGTACAGGTGGTAGATACATTGGACATGAAGACACGCACCAACACACACATATACACACACACACAAGGAAAGACTTAAACTTGCATAGAGTTCCCACCCATCTGCCCCCCCAACTTCCATATTCCCACTGAGATTTTCAAAACTAGGCTGAGAGGTCACTGTACAGAAATGAATAAAGATGCTTTTCCGTCCTTTCAAACATACTTCAGAGATGCGCCGGGTAATCGAGGAATAGCATCAAGAGTTGCCTCTCAATAATAAATCCTATTAACGTGTGTCCAAAGCCAAACTCAGAGCTGAGGGAGAGAGGTCTAAGGGAATCTAAGAGGAGAAGAAAGGAGAAATAACTGGATCTGCATCTGACCCACATCCTTAAATTCCATCCTGATGAAGCAACAAGGGATGCCTGACTGCAGGCTGCATTACGCTGTCCTCTAGGAGCCGAGCACTTACTCTGATATTTGATGGTGACCTTTGGTTCCAGAGATTCCAGGACAATCAGTTTCTTTTATGAAGTCCCATTAGCCATGAACCATAAAATGTCCCCGAAGAGCTCCCCATGAAGCAGTGAAGAGAAAGCATCAGGGTTTGTAACACAGAAAGGAGGAGAGATGATGCCTGGGGGAGCACGAATCACCTTCCAGAGTGTCAAGGGGGAGGGCAAAAGAGAGGGTCAGGAGTGTGTGCGGGAGTTCATTCCTGGCTGGAACCACTGATCCTAATTCATTGATTCTAACTCATTGTGACCTGACATCGGGTTTTGGAGGCTGTCAATCTTGACAGGAAGAGGCAGTCTTATCCTTTACCCCAGGAGTGGCTGGCGTGTTTGCACAGCTGATCTTGTTGTTAGTAGTCCAGTGCTTACCCTGTAGCACCACCAGTGCTCTTTGATCCTACCTAAACAGTGTTACCTAAGCAGTGGTTTGGGGTAAGCAGTTTTATAGGAAGGGCAGGAGACCCTAATTAAGTGAGACGTCACATCCCAGGTATTTCACAGGGTACAGGCACCCAGAAAGGCCAGTTCCCTTCTTTCTCCCTGTGGTCCTCTTTTAGGAAGCCCTCCCTGGCCAAGCTGTATGATATATCCCATGGCGTAAATCATGCCCACAAACACAGGTGTGCGCACATAGAACATCAAGAAGATCAGAGGATTTGCAGTCAGTATCTCTGGATGGGGTGTTATGAGTAATGGCTTTTCACTGTGGCTCATCTATATCTCTTTCCTCTTCTACACTAAATATGGATTGTTCCTCTCTTAAGGCAGGGGACCAGTATGATGTTATACAAAGGTTTCTAATAGCAATTGTTCACGTGAAGAAGAAAATGAATAGCTAAGGTTTGTCTTCTAAACTGCTTTACTCCTGGATGGCCACATGGCTGCTGCCCATGGCTCACGTTAATCAGTCTAAGATCTGGGGCCTGCTTAGGGAGGATTGGGAGTGGTTCCCACATGGCATAGGGTTAGAAATCAGACCATGTCAGCCACAACTCTTCGAAAAACAACCCTGTTGTGGAACCGTGAGCTTCAATTCTGCAGACCAGGTACCTGGCTACGGAGCTAAGGAAACAGCTTCTGGCTATTCCTGGGTAGCAAAACAAAGGGCTAAACGGTTGCTGCATTTTGCTTTCTATTCTCCCCTCCCCTCTCTTTCTTCCCCCACCGGAGGCGTTTTTATTGCATTTACATGTCCCGCCTTCCCCACCATTGTTAGATACTGGGTATTTGGGGTGATAATTGGTCAGAGGTTGCCAGGGCATAAAAAG